AACCCATGCGCATATCGGCCGATGCCGATACAAGTAAAAAACTCAAATATCGGCCCGATATATCGGCCGGCCGATTTATCGGTCTATCCTTAATTAAAATGTCTTAAATTAGTTTTTCAAAAGTCTTAAAAATGTTAAGACGTGTGCCTTAGGATTTTTTTTTTTCAATTGTTGTTTTTTGATGTTGCATTGTAAAACATCGGAATAATAAGTAATAATTACTTACGGAATCCACCACAAGACAAAAAAAGTAATGTTTTATGTTTCCCTACCCCTCCATCACTGGCAGTTCATGTTTTTTCCTCTTTTTTTCAATTTTTGTTATTGTAACATTGGTATTGTGGCATCATAAAGTCTTAAATCTAATTTGCCTTTATCTGTAGGAACCCTGCAGAGTTACAGACAGACGAAATAATAAAAAAAAATATTTTCATAGCTGTCTGTTTGGCCAGTAATGATCACCGGAGGATTAAAAGTTTACACAACTTTTTTTACAGTGTACATGGGTAATTTGACCCTCAGAATGAACAAATAAAGTGCTTCATCCTCTTCTCAGATTTCTCAATGCCTGTTACTCCCAACTATATCAGGCCTAATGCTAATAATGGATTGTCGTCTAGAATAAACATAGTGTTTGCATACACATCTACAATTAAAACCCAGCATTGTTTGTGTGTAGAGGGGGAAACTTACACTATACTTCCTTGAGTATGTACGGGAATGTAACTTACAGCAGCATGCATGTGTGTTCTTATGTGATGTGCAGACGAGGACACAAATCAGGGAGAGCTTCATCTTATATCTGACTGTTAGCAGTGCCCCTACCAGCTGCTTCAAGTAGTTTTGTAAAAAAAAACAAAAAAAAAACTTTATTATGTATTCCAACTTGTTTTTTTTTTCATCACAACAGATATTTCACGCTGCCCCCTTTTGATCCTTTCCTTCACATTTGCGACTTAGTTAGAACGCATGCAAATAGCTGGGAAACCATGAATTAGTAAAAACAAATAAGCTGTGTTCTGACTGCAGATAGTGGGCTCTGTCTAGTCCAGATTCTTACACAGTGATTCATAGTCAGTGACCTTAGCAGATATAATGAGGGCTGGATATAGAAGTGTCAACGACACTGACACTGTAGCAACAATATCTAAAACTTTAAAGCAGTTTTTAAAAAAAAATTCTACCAGATATTTCCAGCAGTAGAAAGTAACAAAATACATTTACTCAAGTGCTGTATTTAAGTACAATTTGTAGCTACTTGTACTTTACATGAGTATTTCTATTTTCTGGTGCTTTATACTTCTACTCCTCTACATCTGGGAAGTATTATACTTTTAACTGCGGTACATTTATTTGATAACATTAGTTACTTTGCAGATTAAAATTAATAATAAAAAACATCAAATCAACAAATAAATTATGATGTATTATTGTAGATTAAGTTACGATAAGGGTTTATTGAAACCCAAGGGGAAATACACAGGCTATCTGGCAGTATATAAGTCGTTAAATCAGCTCCACCTCTATCAGCTGCAACATTAAAGTGATGAAAACATCAATAGTTTTAATCCAATAATATAATGTACATTAGTCTGAAATGGGCCATTCTGCAAAATGAGTACTTCTTTGGTATTAAAAAATATTTTGATGAAAATACATTTGTACTTTTACTTAAGTAACATTTTGACTGCAGGATTTGTAACAGAGTTTTTCAACACTGAAGTATTGCTAGTTTTAGTGAAGTACCTTTGGAATATTTTCCATTGAAACATTACTGTATGCAGGTATTTGTAATAAGGCTGATATATTAAATAAGTATGGCTGAAATGATGTTTTCTAGTAAACTGAGGTAGAGCTGCAGCTAATGTTCATTTTAACTATTGGTTATACCTATTATTTTTTTTTATAATTGTACAGTTACCTTCAAACAGTGACTGAGGAGTTTAGTTTATTTTAACGCAAGAAAATAGAAAAATAGCAGATCCTCACAAGAACCAGCAAATAAAAAAAGACTGTCCTCAAAAGCAGTTGCAGATTAACCCTCAGCCAATTAGCCTTTTCAGCTTTAAAGTAAGGTATCGTCAGAGGTGCTCTGTGACAAAAATAACGCACTACAAGCTGTGCCAATGGTATAAAATGTTATACACTACCAGACTCCTAAGTGAGTATGGTCTCCTCTCCTCCTCATCTCCCTACCTCTTTTGGAAATGTTATAAATGTGGTGTGGATGGATGCAAGCAGATTTGGTATAATACAACACCATATACCAGAGAAATATAATATTTGCTCCTTATTTTGCCGCTCTTTTTATCTGCTAATTTAATACCTGATATCAACCTAGGACAAGATCATATCAGTAAAATAATGTTATCTTTCCCTTTCCAAAAATAGTCTAATAATAATAATAATAATGATAATAATAATAATTATAGATACTGCGCAACAGTGCTCAGGGCCGGACAATTTTAGGCAAATTTAGGCAATTCTGAGCAACAAGAGGCAGAATAGGAAGACAACAAGAAAGTTGCAGTTACAATGTAGCTACATTTTGCATCAGTTGAGACTTGAACTTACAACCTCTGACACCAAGGAACATCTTCTATCTGACTGAGCTAATTAGCAAGTGACAACGCATTTGTGGCTTCACAAAAATCTGAAAATACACATCTTGCATCTAGACAGCATAGAGATGTTGTTAATTTGTTTTTAACAATGATTGATTTACTCCATAAGTGAAGAACTGATGTGTAAATGTGCTTTATTCCCATTGGCAGCAATGGTTCACATACATAATTCAGAATTCAAAATGCAGTCAAAAATTCAGTTTTTGATATAAAATTCTGATATTTCAATCAATCAATCAATTTTATTTATAAAGCCCAATATCACAAATCACAATTTGCCTCACAGGGCTTTACAGCATACAACATCCCTCTGTCCTTATGACCCTCGCAGCGGATAAGGAAAAACTCCCCCAAAAAAAACCCTTTAACGGGGAAAAAAAACGGTAGAAACCTCAGGAAGAGCAACTGAGGAGGGATCCCTCTTCCAGGACGGACAGACGTGCAATAGATGTCGTACCGAACAGATCAGCATAATAAATTAACAGTAATCCGCATGACACAATGAGACAGAGAGAGAGACAGAGAGAGAGAGAGAGAGAGAGAGAGAGAGAGAGAGAGATGCAGGTAATGACAGTAGGTTACAACAATATTATTGAAAGTAATAATATTATAGTTATAGTTCTGGCTACTGTGGTACAATATGTTGAAAGTATGTATTAATATCTGGCAGTATACATGTGTGACAATAGTCATGTGTATAATAACAGTAGAAGTATGACTAATGACTAATGATGGCAGCAGCAGCAGGAGGCATCTGGCAGGACCACGGCAGCAGCACAACCACACACGTCACGCTGTCCAGGCACCGCTGCGATATGAGTTAATCTGAGAGACAGTGGAGCACAAAGGCTCCGGAGAAGACGCCGAGTTAGTGACATCCAGAATGGCCGAGTTAGCAAGATGCAGTAATAGAATACGAGAGAGAAGGAGAGAAGGTGCCCGGTGTATTTCCAGACATCATCTACCATGACTCCAAAATTTTGTTAATTTTTTTCATGAACATTGAAAACTTATTTAGCAAGAATTTGCAAGTATACGTATGTTTACAGTCAAACATCTTGATGCACTGCAGGCTCAATTTTTCATAAATCAAAAATCTGTGAGGATAATTTGTGAAGAACAGTCTGAAGATGCTCTGTAGCAAGTTTGGTGTCAATTGAACAAAAATTGTGGGAGGAGATAGGTTTAAGAAGTTTTACATTAAAAAAAACAGAGTGATGGACTTCATAATATGCAATAAGTTTAAATGTACAAAATGGCTACATTTTGGTGAAAGTTGTGAAGCTGTAGCACATACGGTTGATTTGTTGTGAATTTTCAAAGTTTTGAACTTTAGACGCTTGCTGTAGCACCACCATCAGGACTATTGACTTGTGTTTTGCAGCAACGAGAAGAAACGAGCAGGAAAACAAGAGGGTCCTGGCAAGACTGCCTGCCCGGCCCCTAATAATAATAATAATGATAATATTATTAAGCAAAGAAACAAGTCTATTTCAATTTCTGTTCATCTGGTTGGAAATTGACATCAGCAGCACTGCAGTGAAACCAGAATAATGGTTCAGCACTAACTCTTTTTAGAGCGTGTTGCTGTGACAGAGACATCATTTCCTCCTGATATATGTTTCTAGAAAAAGAAAAGAAAGCCATTTTAATTTCAGAATGTTCAGAAGATATGTGGCTTGTAAAATCTGGATCCATTACTTACTTTGGTGATTTTGGGGCAAAAGAATTTGGCATAATCTGTACTTGCGTTCACTTTTCCCATTGGAATGAATAGACTCAAGACCGCCACTGGTTTCCTTAACGGGTGGGACAGTGGCATAACCCACGTGACAGATACAGGAAATGTATCTTATCTTTATCAGTGGTTTCTGTTATCATGTACTTGTGATATTGGTATCAAATGTAAGGTACTATCTAGGCACTGGTGTAAAATTATTTTCAGCAAAACCTTCAAATGACTTACCGGTGCTAATTAACCACCTTGTGATGTAAAACATGATCAGAGTATGCTCTGAAGATTTCATGTACTGTTCCTTTAATGAAGGTGACATATATCCCACAGCTGTGTGTGTGTGTGTGTGTGTGTGTGTGTGTGTGTGAGTGAGAGAGAGTGAGAGTGAGAGAGA